ATTCATAGTTATTGTCATACTTTCCAACATGCTCAAAATAAGCTTGTTATTCATGATAATTTAATGTAACTTTGGTGTTAATGTTCATCATCTGTGACTAATATACCTCTAATACATCAATTGTAGAAAAGTACTTCAACTAGTCCAGTTACTTATTTGATAATCCATTATGTTTAGTATTCCTTCCAAGTACTAAGATGTTTGATGAGAGAACTCGAATTAGTGCTATTGTCGTTTGTTAGCATGATAAATCTGTGGGAACACAGGAGGGACGAGACAAATTTACTGTCTTATTAGTTCTCTAGCAATTGCGTAAAAAATATGTTCAAATGTATATTTATAGTCAAGATCAAAATAATTCAACATATAGACGTTTACAAATCAAAAATGAATGTCCTACTTTTTTCCACTCATTTAACTATTTTCGAAAACCGACTGACACAGAAATTGTTTGAAGTTTATTGGGTGTACGAAAGTAGAGGTCATCAGACCGAGAGTACTAAATATTTCGGTGTTAGAAATATTTATTTGATGAGGATAATGTTTTTGATTTCGTCAATTCCATGATATCTGGTTATTCACCCGCTAAGGATTCAATCCCTGAGTCATAGAAATAAAGCACGTGCTTCTATACTTGTTAAAAACCCGTTTGGAATGATCAGATTAGAAGCTGTTATTATTATCATATTAATATTTCCAATTAACTGAGTTCGTTAACACGGTTTATTACACATGTTAAGCTAATTTATGGCCAACTCAATATTCCAGTTTGTCCCAAATCCTCAATCTTGAATTAACAATCCAAAAGGTAGCAACACCAAACAAAGTAACTCATACCATTCCATATTAAACAAACTCTAAAACTTATGCGGTAAGCATATAAACGACATAATATAAAGATCACGATGCATCAGAAATAATTAATCTCATTGTGTGCTAAACTACCATAACCGTACTTATGATACAAGTCTCAATACAACGATTTGTGGTTAGTCGACGGTAATTTAAGAACTTCGTCATGAACATTCACTTGGAGGTGATTCTCTCATCATCAGGATTTCCAAAGGTTGACCTTCTACCAGGCGATTCTCTCATTGACTTCGAATTGGTAGAAAGTTAGGAGCGGCCAAACCAAAACATGGAACCAGTCCGTGAAGTCAATGACAGTTAGAGCTATATTATCAGATGCAGATTACCTGGTTGAGATACGAGTGACTTTCGTAACCAGTGGTTAGAAAGTTGGAATGATGTCTGAAATTTATTTACAATGGAGCAGATATTTCACCCTTTCTCCCCACCTATGTTCTAGGTTTCTTAATTCCTCACAACTAGTATGTGAGATTTGTTAAGGTTGTAATATTTAGTGCCCCTATATCTGACTCTAGTTAGATCGTTTTTGATTGCTATCGAAATATACATGTCGCCAATCCTCGTATATTATCATGAACTCACGTTAGTGAATAACAATAAGTCAAACACGAGAATGGATTTCTGATTACGTACAATCGTTGATCGGAAAGTGAAGCAAACCAAATGACGCAAAATTGAAAAGGCGAGTGAACCAACTCAGTTTAATCAAGCGTGAACTGAATTTTATCTTCAGTGCTTAGTCATTTCTATTATCACTTATACTGTTACTACCTCTACTACTCTGGGATTCGTCCTAACAACTTCATCTCGTCAAGCAAATGGGCTGTGGTAACTTGAACCAATGTACACACCTACCAGTTATACCCTGCGCTTAACTGACTGATTAGAAACAGAAAATATATGTCAACTGTTGTCGAGTCATATAGGAGCCTACAATCAAGAGAGTACAAAAATATCATAACTCAGTTATTTAATTGATATGGAGTGCCAACCAGAAGTAGCGTAATGAAAAGGTCAATCGATAGCAATCAAAAGTGACATAAAGGTCAAGTGCATTTCATTTGGATTAAAATGGTTTAGTTTGTAGTGCGATGCTTCTATAATCTTTCACCTCGATAACTGTTATAATACAAGTCTCAACGGTGCATGAAATCAGAAGGCGAAGAAAAGCTGAAACTACTGTTTATTATCAAATGACGCAGGCCACAATGCTACAACCACATGAGTAAATATCAGCGAGCAAGTGCAAGCAAATTTATAGTCAAATTGCATAAGGGCGCACAAAGACAAAGCAAAAGCTAATAATAGGATTTGAGTGCATACATAAATGGGCAGGAGAATGAGTCATCAAATGATATTTAAGCAGTCAACGTTTTGGCTAGTCTGTCATGTGCTCTAGTGATCATAACAGTACAAAGACATATGCGACTTGTTACTATCCAAAGGACAATGTCTGTTAAGTTAATAAAAGGGTTTAACCAAAATTAACCATGATCGAAATTGGGTTGAGGGATAGTTGCTATAAATTTTCTAAACATAGACTTGTATATATGTATGAATGAGTATTTGTGTATTTTATTCGGTAGTCCAATACACTTTCTAGCTCTTGTGATCTAGCGCTAGTAGTCGATTGTGGGGTTAGCGCGCAGCACACCGTGTATTAGAATCAGATCTTTGACACCGCACATCCCAACATTAAACATATATATTGAATTGATGGTCAGTAATTCTTCATTAGTGAGCACTTGCAATAGGTAGTAGCGGTTGATTATTCAAGATTTAAAAATTAGAATGGAGTTCAAGAAATTTTTAAAATGAGATATCTAATACCCCGCCTTTGTACAGAAAGTTCAGGTTTGAATTATCAGGTAAATTTATTTTATTCCTTACTCCTAATAAATTGTGTTTACCGATTTCAATATACAATCATTTTATTTACTATTATCTTAGTCGACGTTTCGAGACTTTCTTTTGTAATATGATATCTATTTATACCACTTCTATGAGTGGTTTTTTAAAGTTTATTTAATCTCTGCTACAGTATGTCAATTTGTATTTTAAATAACTTGTGACCAACTCTGTTTGACCGGAACGACATTCCCCTATTTCTTCCTGTTTATTTGCCTGTTTTTGTATCTAATAACAACAGATCAGCTATAATTTCCTCAACGACGCAATAAAAGAGAACATGAATTTCAATAATGACAGCTATTTATATTTCCAGAAGACAGAAAATCGGCTTTCAATAATTCTGTCCATATAATAATCATAATGATGAACTTGCAAATGTTTAACAAAACACTGAACTCATAGAAACATTAGCCAATCAAAAAATATCATAGTTCCCTATGTCAACTATAAGATGTAGGTTATCATTCTGTAATTACTTATTCGTCTGAACGACATAACTACTAATAAAAAAAAACGAAAAATGGATAAATTGAAACTTTTCTAGGAACATTATTATTATAAGGAATTGGTGAGAATTAAAACGAAGTTGAAAACTAAATTTACATTTTTCGAATCAAATTATTATTTATATTTCTTTACATGTGAATAAAATGGAACAGTAGACATGGCAACTTTAAATGAAAATAAAAAGAATTAATTGTTACTTATACCAATTCATCACAACTATACACCTCCGAATTATTCGATTTAAATAAAATTAGCTGATTGATTGAATAATCTCGGTACAATCCTGTTACCAAACTATCGATTAAAACAACATATTATTAAAATTCACTTAGTATTGTTTGTTCGAATCTTCCCATTGATATTTTTAGGACTACAACTGGTCAGTCTCTAATTGGCATATGTGCATACTGTGCGTATTGCCTCGATATAGCCTAAATTCACAAGCATGGTAAGCAAAGATGGATAGTGGCTAGCAGTGGAATCCAGTTTGACGCGAGTTTCGTCCTATTTGGGACTCGTCAGCTGGATGTGCTTGCATCTCAGAATTGATGTTCACTTTGGGACTCGAACCCAGTACCTTCCACTTCAAACGTCATCGCGTTATCCACTCGGCCACTGAGTCCTGATAGCCACTTGCTTATGCAATGGAGGTGAAGTTGAAATTCACTTAGTATTGTTTGTTTGAATCTTCCCATTGATGTTTTAGAACTGCAACCGGTCAGTCTCTAATTAGCATATGTGCGTATTGCCTCGATATAGACTAAATTCACAAGCATGGTAAGCAAAGATGGATAGTGGATATTATTATATTGTGTAATCGATAATAATATAACAAAGTGATGTTAACAATTATTGATTAAAATTAAATAATTAATCAATAAAATAAATGATATGTAGACATGTAATTTTATAATTTCTTGTCGAAACAATTTGTAAACTTACACATATTATAGTATAATAAATAATGTGTGCTAATTTGTAACTATGACGAATTATTGATTTTTACAATAATTTAATTTCTTGTTAATATGTATAATCATAATTATTATATACAAAAAAGCTAATAATGTATATTATCCATAGATTAGTAAAGTGTAAATGAATAAATTACCTATAAATATATGTGTGCAATCATTATATGAATTTATGAATGATAACTTTAAGTAATTGGTTTTGACTGGATTTGTTGCTGTGTCTGCTTACAAATTAGTTAGTTTATTGTGTAAGTCATACACTATCTATGTCTGTCTATTTCATCTTTCTAAAATGACAAATCCCTATCAATGTTATTCATCATGAACAAGAAATATTTGAATTATTGAAGAAAGTAATATTTTGTGAAGGATTCTCACTAGCATTGTAGAGTATCATACATGTGAGACGTTACCATTGTGGGAAAACAATAGGAGGATAATCTGGATTATAGTTGTTTACTCCTTTGGTCTGAAAGTGAGACATAAGATGCAGCAGTAGTTAGTACTATATTACGCCTACATGGATTATTCTAGCTTTTGGACATGACAGTTAATCCCTCTATACACATACATTTGAAATTGTTGATTTTTGCTTAAAGCCTTCAATCTTTTTACATGAACACATGTGTTTTTACCACTTACTCCCTTCATCACATATCATTATAAGTAATGATGGTGTTTCAACAAAAAGAAAATTTATATTTAACGATGTCATTTTCTGAAGCTGTACAGTAGTATTTATAGGTGATTTTTTACGTTTTAAACTAAAGATGTGTTACAAAATCATGAAAGATAGTCAAAATTATCTAAATATCGGATAAGAAAATCAAAGAAAATGAGGTGGTTTTGCACAATATCATGAAGATTATCAACAGATTTCAAGTACTGAATATGCTAATTTATAGATGAAAAGGTGTTATTTCAACGTAATTAAAGTTATTGATAGTTTTCAGGTATGGGTGTCATATCACTTGGCAAAGTAATCGAAAATTATTAAGAACTAAATTTATGTAATAGTTTTTGAAGTAATGAGGAATGGTTAATTTATTGAACCAAAGCAAGAAATAACTGTCTACTTTATAAAGAAGGGGAAGAAGATGAAGAGTAAGATGATAATTAGTGTTTACGACTTATGAAACTACGGAGAGGTTCTAAGACCATGGAAAAATAAAAGACTGAACTCAGCTCGTTTGTTCTTAGAAGTCAGGTTTAAAATGGAATGCTATGTTTGCAGATCTGGTTGATAACGGGTTATAGAATTTCCACCAGTCTAAAGAATTTAGATATATAGCTCTTAACACGATGTATTATTGTATATGATTGCTCCATGTTGGGTTCACACACCAGTTTGAAAAAATGAGTTAGAATCTAGCTGTTGGCAGTTTTAACAATACCTTTACTTAATCATACTGAGAGACGCCTGCAAGCACGAAAATACAAATTCCTAGAGCATCTACTAATATAACTCGCTCCACAAGAGCAGTTGAACTGATATGTACAAGAAGAGCTGGCTAATCTTGGTAATTTATCTTTCAATCTCGGATTGACCATCGGACATGTAGAAAACATTATTTATGGTTTTCCTTCATTGAAGGTTATTTGAATTGCTCTGTGGAGCTTCGCATCAACACTCTGCTAGATGCATTACCTATAAATTGAATTCGTATAAAAAGTGACTTTTAGATCATTGAAACGATTTCTTTTTGCCTTATTTTCTTCGCTAAATATTTTTCAATTATTGCCTCAGGATATTCACTTACCTTTAGAGCGTTACACAATGCATTTTTACAATATATGATCAATGCTGTAAGCGCCCCAGATGTAGTTGCAAAAGAAACAAGACAACTTGATTAACGTTCATACAACCTTCCTATGCACTTTCATAGCTTAAACTTACTTTATTCATTTTATTATTATAATAACACTTGCACACATTCCAAGACATTTATTAAACACCTAACCCAATTTACTAATTCTTACTTTGTTCATATTATTCTACATAATACGTGGTTCTTGACCAAATATTTATTTTGATTTGTAATTACATAATCATCTCTCTTATCTTATGTTATCCAGGTGATTAATCATACAATCTCATTTAACTTATCAACTTAATCATGTTTGTCATCGCAACATGAACAATGTTGTGTTATTTTACAAACAACCCTGAAATCACATGCTAGAATTTTAAACGATATAATTGCTTTGCACCTGACCATTTTTTTACTATTATTCACAGAACTTGAAGAGAATTTATAGTAATGAAAAATTTTCGTCCATATATCTGTTTTAATATGATGGGAAATTTTCTACGAATAACATCATAGATATTAAAGTTCACCCAGGTTAACTAAATAGAAGATAGAAGAAAGCTGAGAAAAGAAAAAAAATTCCTGGGTAAATGTCCAATACTTGACTTTTTAATCGAGTCGATTCATATCAAACTTTTCTCTTTCTGTACTGTTATATCTTGTGGCCTGTGTGTCTTATTAATGTATAACGTGAAAACGCTGCCAATTAGAATACAGTGAATTATTGACCGGACCAATGACAACCAAAACCCGTACGAGCAGTCTAGAGTTCTTATCATTCGTTCTTTCCGCCTATCCCAGCCAGTCAAGTCCAGAACACCAAAAACAGCCTCTGAGATATGAATCATATATTTCAAACATACTGGGTTCATATACCAATCAAACAGATCACATCATACCATAAAATAGAAAATAACATTTGTAAAAGATATGGCCAAAAGTGTCTGTGAATGTGGGAGACAGTAATTGATAGACTGGGCATAACTCAAGAATGGTAAGTCGTATAGTAATAGTTCACAGGTCGAAATAAAGCTTATGATACGAGGAACACAAATACGAATAGTTTAGTTAGTTAACAATTATACAATAAAAATATATGTATAGTACTAGTCCAGAAATAGATTCCAACAGTTACCATTCATTATTCTCTTCGGGATACAACAAGTATCATGCAATTAATCCCTTTAAGGTAGTGTAATTTTTCATTCAGTGATGAGATTTCGTAAGACTCTCACCCGCCAAGATTAATGAGACTTCCAAGATAAACGAAATGGTTTACGAACTCAGGTACTTCACTACATATGGTCAATCTTGAAGATGATACAAACCAATCCTGAAGCAGTATTAGTCGTTTTTGTTAAGACACACTTACAATAATTACGAAGCTATACTACACTAAAAGGTTATGAAGATGAAAGAAACGTGGTTAGAACTTGTATTACTTGGCGGTTGATTATTTCTATGTACCACCTAGTCCATATACTCAAGTTATACGTAGAGTTTATTAAAATATATCTTAACAAAGTAAATCTTGCGTATATTTATAAATTACAGTGTGATAAATATACACGAAAGTATTTAGCAATGAAAAATCATGGAAACAAGTAAACAATAACGATAAGAAACCGGATGAAATCTTATACACTAACAGTGTTGATTTATATGAGCTGATGAGAATTCTCCATGAAGTTAGAGATAATGACAACCAGAGCTTCGCAATTAAGCCGTCCTGCTCAAAGAATACGGCTCAACTAACGAACATCCCACTTGAGCTACAAATCCCCATCATTTCTGACTTTCGATAATGCACTGAGAAGACGAAGGTTATCAGAATTATGTGATATAATTCCATTATATATTTTGAACTATCTGACTACACATATACTTGTTAAGACAAATTATATGAAAAATAAAGGGTCAACTATACAAATTAAAAGGTAAGTGGACACAAAATAATAAAGTAGACAAAATCAATGTGAAAACCACGCTGGATATTAAATCAGAATTACCAGGGTAGGTTAAGAGTAAAAATAAATTGTTTTTAAACATATAAAGGGGTTTCCGTTTTCGTGTAGCCAAGGCTTCAATGAATCTTAGTACAGGTCTTGAAAGCTTTAGTACAAAGGCTAACTTAACATCAACCGTATGATCGGTCTCAACCAAATGTTTCGCAATAGAGAAAGTTATTTTTCTATTTGGTGATCTTATTTGACCATTGAAACTCATTTATTTTTGTAGTCACTTATTAGGTATGTGTTCAGATTGGCCGGAATGTATTACGCAAATATACCACATGATTATCGAAATTTATCAAAGGTACTTATTGCTTTAAATTTCAGATTTTGTTCATATATGCATCAACGTCACGTGATTACGCCATCAATGTGAATAAACGATAGACATCACATATCACAAATGAGATTTCCATCAATTTCACAACTAGACTAAGGTTTCCAATGTAAATGAATCACTCACACCCTAACAAAATAAATGTCGGCATCTATTTATACATATATGGCTTAAAAGAAAGCTTGTGTAAGATAACCTAATTGTATTTTTTTATAGTTGAAATCATTAGTCAATTGAAGCTAGACCACCATGGAGAACCTGGAAGCACTGGACAGCCGTTTCGTCCTATTGTGGGACTCCTCAGCATTGCGCATCCACGATCCCGCCTAGCGAGATTCGAAGTTGGGACCTATCAGTCTCGCACGCAAGCGCTTAACCACTAGACCACTGAGCGGGCATCCAACGCTGTTAATATCTAACTTCAACCAATCCACGAAATTGAGCAACCATCCACCATTGTCTTCAGTGAGTTACTATCTTACAACAGACCCGGTTGTAATCTGTCCATGACACAGAACAGGTAAGGTCTTCACTAACATATTGAAATTGGATGAGTCATCTAATTTGACTTTGTCACCCTTTAAGTATTAGAATGACTAATAATAAACTCATATATCTTATGCACTTATTTCCTACCAATTGCACAAAAACCTTGAGTTCTAATGAGGGAAAACAACGTTGTTCATTATGGAATTGTCCACCCAATCCAGTCTGTTTTATGATCAAAGTTCAAGGAGCGTAATCGAGCGGTGAATATTGTTTACACATGATTTCCGAATACACTCATTAAAACTAGCATAGATGTTTGCTTTTCACTTTCAGCTTTTCTATCTTTCTTTTGGAAAATGTAGTGCTTCATCAGTCTAGGAAATGCTACCATACATAAACACTGTGAATCTATATTTTGACAGCTATCAAACATGTTATTTATTTTAACCTTTGTGCATAATTAATCCATTAACTGTAGGAAGAACACCGTAATACATCAATTAAAATATCTACTTTTCAAAAATTTTCGGAAGAAAATTAACTAGGATTTTAGAATCCAATTAACCGTCGATCGCTACGATATATTAAAAAATACAACAATACCTCATAACGGAACTATTTTTATCTTTAATTTTGAAAAGCATTCCGAAAACAAGACTTTAAAGTGATCGCGTTCACAATGATAAGAAAATCTATCAGATATTCTGACGTAACCGTGAGAAATTAGTTAAAGGAGAACAATACTTTTTTAGTAAACTGGACGAACATCATTTAGCATTCAGACGCCACGACGTTTCCTCGCTTATATCAATGCGCGCGGACAACTGTGGAAATTGGACTGGAAAAATATGGATATCTTGGATAGAGGCTATCCTAAAAACACCAGAGAACTTAAGGCTCATGTCAATCAGAAATCAACAAACACATTGAAATCGACCCAATTTATCACAAAAGTCATGGATAAATATAGGACCGAAAATCAAATAAATGAGTGATACAATCAAAGTAAACCATGACAGATTAAAGGTCAACAACAGCCAATCGAGATCGACGTCTACAGGACAAGCTGTGAGTCATACGTGAAGAGATTTGGACACTTCACTTAAATCTGAAGCTTGTGCTTATGATGTCGTACAGAATAACGACGAAACTATCGAACCCAAAGAATAAAACCCCACCAAAATCATCCACACGACCTACAAATCTTCTCTACCATTTATTCTCACTTTTATTGTCATAGCAGTTCCTTAGTCTTGCATTTATCTACATACATACTATAATAAAACTTTGTTTCTAACGCCATGCGTACCGAGCCATATAAGTGTTTTATCCTATCGTTTACAAATGGTCTACCAAAAAATATAAATCGGATTCTTTGATTTGTCATGAGGTAAGTACAAAATATTGTATGGTATTGCTTTAATCTGATCAAACTTTGATTTTTTATAAAACCACTCTTGATTATTCCTAACAAAAATCATTATGATTAAATCGGTTGCTATATTAATAAACTTCCATTCATGTTTGTATTAGTCTTTGAAATATACATATAAATAACAATGCTCAGTATTTACATTCTGAGACGTCTAAGCATCTCCTTGATATACTATTAGACTTCTTTAACAATACAGTTCGATAAAATGCTTCAAATTCAATCAAGAAACGGGGTTTACACTCAACAGCTTAAAAGGAATACAGACCTGAAGCAGATACACAATTCTTTGATAAGTTCACTGAAATCTTATTGCATAGAAACAAATATGTTCTGAGTGAGATCAGCCGAAATTGAGTACCATTATTAATTTGGAATTCAAGTAGATCTAAATCGGATCGCACCATTATGAAAGGTGACTTTATATTTATAGTAAAACTATGTTTAAGATATCCACACTAATTCAGAGTTGGGTGATAATTTCCCATATATTTAGAAAACATAAATTGAGCGAACAAATAATCCTTTTTAATTAGCCTAATACTATATCTCTATTTATTAACATGTTTCGTCATTAATACGGAAATTTACAACATACAAGAAGCGGTAAGTTAGTAGAAATACAAATTCAGAAGTATACACGAAAGTAATAAAGAATGGTTAAGGAGGAAACCTAAATACTCCAGCCTTTTTGCTGTAAGCCATTGCTCATCATTTAGTTTTTAATAATCATGTCATATATGCCTCAGTACTCTTATGTACTTATTGTTAACAGTTAACCATTCAACTCTATTACTAGATATTTAAGAAATCTACCGGTATTATGAAAACAAACTACTTGACTCATTAATAAATAAATATATTTTCGAATATTGTCAGGTAAATAGCATTTCGGTAAATAGCAAGCTTGTGATCTAACATTGTCTGACTGATGATAATGGAATATAAGCAACTTAGTGAATTAGGCCTCTTTTTCTTTCTAGGAGGTATTGATACTTACTATACACTTGTCTGAAACTAAGATATACAATGTTTAAGATCCTAAACATGAAAAATAGTAAATTAATGAAAATTTTAAGCGCTGAATATACATATACATGTATTTTTTTTAATTTTCAAATGAGCTGGCGAACAATCAAAAAGCATTCACATTTAATTCATTTCCTGATAATTTAATGCAAAATACACACAAACACACAGTGTTAACGTTGGTACAAATGATGACAAATGTGGGAAAGTTGTCCCATAGTTATATATATATATATGTACTTTAAAAAAGTATATAAAAATCAAGTCTAAGAAAATATAAAAGGCAAATGTAGGTGTACATCTTTGTAACTTTATGCAATCAAAATAAAATAATCATGACAATATAGAATGATAATTAACGATGATCACAACCAATTAATTTGTCGTTATTTCGTTGTTAAACAATATTAACGATGTTATTAACAAAATACAAAAGTTATTTTTTTTAAAAAAAAAAAGGAAGAATGAGTAATAAATTATCACCAGTATAGACAAAATATTCATGATTTATTTGTTGAGAATGTGGACAGGTGAGTTTTTCATTCTGTGTTTATCTATTCACAATGGTTTATAACTACCTAATTGTGATCTACAAAGTGGACAAATATGGACAACATCTTGTGTTGATTTCAAATAGAAAGGAATGAGACAAAAGAGCCATAATCTGATAGAGAATTGGAAAGAAAAAAGAAAACTATGACTTCATAAGGTGATATATATATATATATTACTGCGATTAAACAAATATTGTAAAATAACCATAGAAAACAAATGTTATTTAGCTATGAAAAGATAGCATTCAACAACTCTAACCAGATATAATGACAATTTTTACTTTGTCATACATAACAACAATTATTTACTAAATTATTTTATAATGGAAAATATTTGTATATTTAGAGAAAGTCTAACATTTGATTCAATGTATAAATTTTATCAGACGAGATGATGGTTGGAGGTAGTCGACCGAGGAGCATCAATTCCCTTAAGATTACAGGTACATCTTGCTTATGACTGTCAAATAACACGAGATCTAGGTCCAGGGTTTTCTGTCCACTAATTCGAACCACCACCTCATCTCAATATAGTGCAGGCGACGTCTAGTCACCTAGATTAGTGGTCACATTGCAACTTGGTTGACAGAATTTGATCTGTACTAAGAAGGACCTGGCATACATGACATTGGGGTCACAACCCAGTGATTAATCGATTGTAAATACATTGCAATATACAGTTGATTAGGCGTTATAAAATGATGAACAAGAATTGTAGTAATTAAATAAACCTAATTTGATTGTAGGTAACCGGGTAGGGTAGTTCTAACACTATCCCTTTTCATAACAAGTAACCGATGAATAAGTTAGCTAATGAATTAACTTTTTACTTATCCTAGGTAATTGATAAGAGACATTTTTACAAAAAATATAGAGGTAACAGATTTTTATGGAGAAATTTCACTGAAAATTGAATCATCATTACAAATTAAATATTATTATTTAGAATAGAGAAGAGTATATTAACTACAAGATTTTAGAGTATAAATTACGTTTGTTGACTTATTAGGATAAGTTATATCAAACATATTAAGGAGTAGACTATTTCATTATTGGTGTTATATCCCGATGAGAATAATGAATGGCAACTGTTGGAATCTATTTCTGGACTAGTACTATACGACTTACCATTCTTGAGTTACACCCAGTCTATCAATTACTGTCTCCCACATTCACAGACACTTTTGGCCATATCTTGTACAAATGTTATTTTCTATTTTATGGTATGATGTGATCTGTTTGATTGGTATATGAACCCAGTATGTTTGAAATACATGATTCATATCTCAGAGGCTGTTATTGGTGTTCTGGACTTAACTGGCTAGGCTAAGTGGAAAGCAGGAATGATATGGACTCTAGACTGCTCGTACGGGTTTTGGTTGTCATTGGTCCGGTCAATAATTCACTGTACTCTAATTGGCGGAATCGTCACGTCATTTACTGATAGAGACACAAACCCACAAGATATAGCAATTGGATTTTAGGCAAATTTGAAACATAACTGTTAATGATGACAATGATATAAACAGATTTCATAGTTAAATATCTGTAATTTAATGTACGTGTTGCTAATAAAAGCTAAATCTCTGTGACTATAGAAAGACAACGTTACAAAACAACGAAGCTCATTTACTGAACCGCTATCTGATGTATAAGATACTATTTTTTAAAAAGGAAGAAAATTTGTGAGTTTAGGTGAAGAATTATTCCTCAAATAAACAAAATTCATTTTGTAATTAGAACTCACCCAGTTAAAAACAAAACTCCACAAAGTAACCACGCTAATAATCCTGACTCGGACCTTACTTTAGTAACAATAATATGATGACAATAAGGACAAGTCATGCCCACCGGATTCCATTTGAATACAGTTGCAGGTTGTTGTGTAATAATCACTAAAAAACATGAATATTTGCACGGAAAAAAACAAACAATGAAACTAGTTAAACTTGAATTTTCTCTAAATATGATTCACTATGATGAGTACCATTGAAGAAAGACATTTACTACATCAAATCATATTAGAAACTTCACCGTATGTTATATAGACCACACGTGATAAATTACTGCCAATAAAATAAGATCAATTACAAGCTAGTGGACAGAACGAGAAAAGGAGAGAGAGAAATACGAGACTCCAAGTTCAAATACCAAACTACAAGCACGATAAACAGTGTTTCCAGAAAAATAAAAACAGATGATAACGATTACAAAAGCAACACACTATTAACATGTTACAGAGTTGGACGGCATAGGAATATATATATATATATATATATATATATATATATATATATATATATATATTGTTCAGTATAGTGATATAATTCAAAGTTGAAATATCCCAAATATAAAATGCAGTATTAATATAACACTGAAATTAAGGGATGAAATTTATAAAACAATATAATTTAACGACAAAATTATATAGAAAATGCAGAAACAACTGAAATGACTAGAAACCGATAAGCTTTACTTCGGATACACTTCTAATCTATTTTGTAATAGTAATACAACAATTTATAAATAAAAGATTGAAGTATACTTATTAATTTGCTTTGGATTTTGTAGAATTTAATCATAATACAAGTGGATTAGTAGTATTTAATCAATTACTTGTGCATGTTATCCCTCGTGGGAGCACAGGCCGCCCACCAGCATTCTTCATCCGAAGCTGTTTTGATCAATCCATTCCAGTTGTTGTTCATCTTTTAGATGTCCGCTTCCAATTCTCTACACGGTGTGTCCTTTGATCTTCCTCTTCCCTATTTACTTTCAGGATTCCAGGTTAGGGCTTGCTTCGTGATTCATTTCGATGATTTCCACAATGTATGTCCTATACACCTCCATCGTCTTTTCTCAATTTCTTCTTCATTTGGAAGGTGGTTTATTCTCTCCCATAATAGGTTGTTGCTGACGGCATCCGGTCGACGAACATTGAATGTCTTGCATAGACAATTGTTTATGAGTACTTGTACCTTTTTGATGACAATTGTAACAGTTCTCTAAGTTTCAGCTCCATAGAGTAAAACTGTCTTGGTGTTCGTATTGAAGATTGTGACTTTGACATTGGTTAACATTCGTTTTGAGTTCCATATGTTCTTCAACTGTAGGAATACTGTCTTTGCTTTGCCGATCCGTCATTCCACATCCGTATCAGATCCTCCTTGTTTATTGCCGTCCAGGTACGTGAAATTTCTCACCTCTTTCAGAGCTTCTCCATCAACTGTGATTTGTTGGTGCTTGCTGTGTTGTATTTGAGGATGTTGCTTTTTGTCTTGTTTATGTTGAGGCTTATATATCAACAACTTGTGGTTTATAAACACAATATTATGAAACAGTTTTATATTTACTTTGAATTCTTTTATTACATTTTTTGGATTCCCCATAACTTATATTTCCCTTGTCTTCCCTTGAATACTATGTTTCTAAATTCTTCTATCTTTCCATTTTACTAATCTATATTTTCGTGAATCGTATATTCGATGTCTAATATGTTCTTCTACCGATAATTCCGACCCCACCACTTAATATTATAAATTTACACAGTTTTCTTACCTACAAATAAATACAGTGATAAGTCATGAAGAATCATCTTGATCAAAATAACATAACACTGACATGTCCAGACTTATTATGATTTTGATTGTACTAAAAATATTCTGGATTTTTTCCTTTGCACTACCTGAGCTTGTGTTAATTTCATTTTGCCTATTTATTTACCATGAAGAAGTGACTTACATCGAGTCGTGAAACATCAGAAATATTTTCTATGCATTGAGATATTATAAAAATATACTTATTATTAATCATTATTTCATAAAATAAATGATCAAATAACATTGTTAATGTAGTTTTAGCAATCCTCTTTATAGAAGTTCTTTGCAAAATTTTTACATAAAAAAGAAAAAAAGAATTTTACCTTCTGGCAGTCTTTCTTCGTATTGTGGAGGAGGTGGTAAAGTAACTTCTATGCTTTCCTGATAAGCAGGTGGAGGAGTCGGAGGTAAACCGGGTACAGGAAATGATGGAATAGGAAGCGCAGATGGGATAACTGACCTATTTAAGTCTGATAAAGAATTGTAAATAAAATAGGGTCACATTAATGAACAGTCATGCAAATATCAATAAAGCTACGATTATGGATAGTTTTCATATGTTATTCATAAAGCGTAAAAACTTATGCATAATGCAGGAAATTTACTTGGGATTGATATTTTATATAATAAATAATAAATCAACGATACTTCTAAATAGTTAAAGAGCAGATAAGCGTGTATTTATAGTAACCAATAGGTTTTGGTGGCCCTATATCTGATTCCAGGTAGATCGTATGAATGATTGCTATCGAAATAGACATCGCCTATCCTCGTGTATATTTATTCGACTGAACTCGCGTTAGTGTATAACGGACTAAATAAGTCAAATACGAGAATGAATTCCGAATACGTGTATTTCATACAATCGTCCATCCAAACGATCGAAGAAACGAAGAGAAGAAAGCGAAATGACATACAGTGGAGAAGGCGTGTGAGCCAACTCAGTTTAATCAAGCGCGAATAGATATTTGTAGTCAGACAAAAATAAGTTACAGATATGTGATGAGTGGGATAAGAAGTGCACACACACGCTCATATGAAAACAGTCAAGGTTGATAAGCGAATAATTAACAAGGTCAAAATGTGACTCAAGAAGTGTGAATAAATTGGCTTATCCGTAAGCTAGAATAAGCTATATGGGCTTAACATAGCAACGGACACTACAAGGTAAGTAATTGTACATTTTACCAGACATGGTCTAAAGGGAACTAAGACTATCTATATTCTAGTTGTGATATAACAGTTTGTCTAACATACGAATGAAAGAAGACCATAAAAACCCACAAACTTTAAAGTACATCAATATCAGGTCAAAATACTCCCGATTCGTGATAGTGTCTTTATCTCATTCTCATTTTTTTTATTTAAAGTAACCTTGAAAGTTTACAAATATCAAACTCTTCACGTTCATATTAGACGTTTTGTAAGAATCGTAGGCACATATGATTTTTTCAAACTCAGGTTATCAACAATTATCCGAAAAGCGAATAAACGGTCAAAAACACGGGGAATCATATGTCATTTAATTTTTAATCAACACACATAGGAGGTTGATTAACATCCAGACTTCACTGTGTAAAAAACTATAAATTTATTTTTTGGTATACACGAGATATTCAACACCTGATCGGACAAAATTGATTGAAGTGATGTAAATGCATTCATTCTTTATCCTTCATTAGATCTAATTGTACAACAATTGTTGCATTCGCTGAGACTTTACTTGTTGCCTTTAGTTCTTCACCATTACTACTAGTATTAACAGTAACTCTCAAGCAATGAAAATAATTATACCTTAGATCTTGACTAAACCAGATGTGGAATTAATAACTGAAATATGATGAAAAGGATGAAGTGAAATGTAGGCTCTTATTTCATCTTGCAGAAAATTATAGAATAAAAAGTTCACTACAGCCATAAGCAGAATTGACTAGAATAAGCTGCCAACTATTTTTCCATACTTGTTCTTTGGACTATATTTTCATTCCGAATGCATTGAGCATTAAATCTGTTTGCTGCTGATTTTTTGGACAAGAAAGCATCATTATGACCACATTTGCGTGCCAATTTTCCAAAGCGATTGCAATAATAACAGTCAGATCTTGTATTTGTATGTAATGGTCGGGATGATGATTGAGCAAATCGAGGAACAATATTCGGCCCGTATACTGGGTTTTCGCCACGATGCTTCTACGATTTACAAACGAATACATCAGATAAGATAAAAAGGATAAGTCATATACTACTAAAAACTGGACTGATGTGCCAGAAAGAATGTAATCCTATTTGATTGATCTCGAAAGCTGATTATCTCAGTTTATATAAGATGTAATAAAAATCCTCTTGCGACAAAGAAATCAGTTTGACTAATATATTGTCTATATCGTCATTAAAGCGCACACTAGAGGAGTACATCGGCCTTATACTCAAAAACTACCGGTTGAGTTAGAGATTATGGCAAACTGTCATCAGGGCTGTCGAATTTCCTGGTTTTGACTTAACTTTTATAGAGATAAAACTCTCGTCCTCTAACTTCACTGGAATCAGTCTTCTACTAGGCAATTCACTTGTTAACTTGAAGTACGCAGATGATATGGCCTTGTTTAGAGAAAACGTTGATAAATACAGCCTTCTGATCTCCTTCGGCAGCAGTACATACATGTTCGAGATACGCTTCTCTTCCTCCTTAAAATGCAGAATTTTCCATCAGGATTAGTCAGGATCAAAATCTGAGGTATTGGATCTTCAATAACTAAGGTGGTTGATATATGTATTGCATGTATTATGTACTAAATTCCCAATCACCGCTTACCTAGAAAGGCGATGTGTGGCGTAGTAGTAGGTTGGAGAAAGTCAGAAGCGGTCAAATCATGACCTAACATCAGCATGAGAAATCAATTAAGAATAGACAGATATACGTCGATAGCTGCAAACTACCTGGTTAGCCCCTACGATTATCATAACCAGTAGTTGTAAACTTCGGACAACATGGTTCTGAATCGATCGCAATCGTTTACAGGCATCTTATTCCAGACCTTGGGTCTCAAAATCTTACACTTGTCTCCTGTTTTCTACACTTAACTGTTTCTACTACCGAAAATACCTTTTAATAATTTGCTATTCGGAAATTTGTCTAGATAATTTCATCACACTCTACGAAGAGGATGTGGAAACATTAATCGATGTACCAGATTGTACGTCGATATGACTGAGTAACTAGTTTTGATGATCAGTCAGTAGGCTACAACGTAGGATCAGGCATATACATACATCGGTCCATGTTACCTTAGTTCACTAGCACAAGATGAACACCAAATTCATAGAAGCAGTTACCTTAATGGTAGTAATATATAAAAGAAAGATTGCGTATAAGGATAAAATACGAGAATTAGTTTATGGAAAGAAAGATATAAAGCAATTTTAATCTCACAGTTTAAGGAAAGACAGAGAGTTTATAAACCTACACCATCGTGATCGATTCTAAGCCATATCACACAGTCTCCAACCATTGGTGACAACAACCGCACAAACCCCAACCAAGTAGTCTGCATCTACCAACATGGCTGAGACTAAAAGTTAGTGAGTTCAAGCACTGATGCAACGTTTTGGTTTGGCCACCCCTAACTCTCTTCCAATGATCTCCAACACTAGTCAGAGTTAAGCGTCGTGGTAATCGGTGTTTAAGCATACGAAGCCCAACCATCTCAGTGGATGAAGACTCACAACCTCATCAACTGATCTACCATCATTCCCTAATACCCTGCGTTTTGACGGTATCACAGAAAGTGTAACATACTGTACGAAAACAGACGCAACTAATGTGTTTCCAAAATTTATTTATTTATTTATTTAAACACATAAATATTGGTACAAGGAAGCACCAGCTAAATATGCGCCTCACAAATCTCATTCGATTTGTGTGAGGGCTGAGATACTGCCCAGGTGCCCAGACTGAAGCAGGTGGTTTTTTAGGGGGCCACACCCGGAGCCTTTGACCTGAAGGTCTAGTCCACAAGGCAGTGGAGCATCGTAAGGAGATGCAGTCCCATGGTAGCCGGTGATCAACGGTTGATTCGTACGCCATTTGTTCCTTCAGGATACTGGAGTCCATGTGCACCATTGGTTTGGAATCACAGTTTTCCAACTCCCCTAGGTGGACTCGCAGTGTCCATCAACCCGGTTAAAGCGACGGACATTCGCTTTTCGTCCTCTCAATTTTGTAAACAACACTCCTGCCGAGAGAAGACAGTGAGTAGGACTTCCCTAACAGAGGCTATATATTCGCTGGCCATATGAGAGCATTTCGAGAGGGATAGGTGACTCTTCCCACTCTCGGCCGTACCAGGGCATTTGGGGGTGTTTCCAAAAAATATACTTTCGATTAAACTGAAGCTTATCATATGTAGAGAAAATTATTAGTGAGGTGAGTATTGATTTGGGGCCGATTTTCCTCATCACCTACCATCGACGGATGCTGAAAAGCATCTAAAATAACCGGTTTTCCCCACGACTCGCAACAGTCAGTCGTGCAGTTTAGCTATGCAGTGTTCCGGTCAACTTACGTGTTTTAAGTATTAGTGATAAACAATGGTGATGAAAGGCGTGCTCGATCACCACAGCAAAGCTGTAGCTACGGTTACGGTTGTTTGACCTTATAAGCCAGTACTTTTATCTCACTAAAATATCCGTGGCATGCAAGACTGCAGATGTCACGTATTACTTATAAACCATGACCGCAAGCAAAATAATAATCAACTATCCATTGATTCAAAACTGTGAACTAAAATAGCCTTTTATTTTTAATATATTCAGTAATTTTCTACAGAAAATTTCAGAATTAGCACAAATCTTTAATTTGATTCTAAATACAACAAATTCAAATACTTTGGTAGTCAGATCCCTCCACTATGTCCCATATAGAACCTGACACGTGTATTTTAGCTAGTTGTTGAGTAGAGCGATTTACTGAATTTCACCAACTTACTGTCTACACAGAATTTCAAAAGAACTTACCATTGTCAATAGCAGCTATAATTAACATTACATCGGTCCACGGGAACCGAGCTTTTCTTTCACTTGGTGTTTTTGCTACCTAATACTTCCTTATGGCAGAGAAAGTCAGTTTTACGAGTGGAACAAGATAATCTAAAAGGTAAATAAAGCAAATGTAATAATTTGAAATCTAGTGTACTCGACAGATAATATTAAGACTTAAATTTACGTCCTAACGATGCTGAACTTCTGCATTACTAACATGGTGTCGCCAATGGATGTCAGCAATCCTTCGGAGACAACGATGATCAAACACAGAAATTCGTCCGACATCCTCAACTCGAAGAGGCCAGGTTTCACAAGCATAGAGCAAACCTGCTCTCACCGACGCGTTGTAGATCCGACCTTCTACAGCCAGATTAACATCACAATGGTGCCAAAGGTGTTCCAGATTGGCATAAGCCACTCTGGCTTTCACCACACGAGCATCGATCTCATCAATCATGCCACCACCAGCACTTATGCAGCTACCTAGACACACGAACTTCTCGACTACTTCAATCTACTCACCACCCAGGGTGAGTACAGAATTAGAATGCTGCCAGACTTGTAGGAGTACTTTTCACTTCGAAGATGCAAAGCACAGGCCGTACCTGCGGACACTGATTGCCAACTGATTAAATGCGGATTGCATGGCTTGGGCATTATCGCACAGTAAGACAATATCATCCGCATACTCAAGGTCGAGAAGTCGTTCTCCAGACAACAGATCTACACTGCCATTACTTACATCCGTCAGAGCTGTTTCCAGAATGTCATCGATGGCAACCCCACTGCTTGAATGGAACAATGGAGGAAGGTGGTTGTATACCCTCACTCTGCCTGAGGTATTTGTATGTTAATAAACTTTTCAGGCACACCCTTCTTCAATAGACAATCCCAGAGAACAGTCCGCCCCCAAATGCCCTGGTACGGCCGAGAGTGGGAAGAGTCACCTCTCCCTCTCGAAATGCTCTCATATGGCCAGCGAATATATAGCCTCTGTTAGGGAAGTCCTACTCACTGCCTTCTCGTGGCGGGGATGTTGTTTACGAAATTGAGAGGACGAAAAGCGAATGTTCGGCGCTTTAACCGGTTTGGTGGACAAGGCGAGTCCACATAGGGGAGTTGGTAAACCGATTCCAAACCAATGGTGCACATGGACTCCAGTATCCTGAAGGAACAAATGGCGTACGAATCAATCATCGATCACCGGCTACCATGGGACTGCATCTCCTTACGATGCTCCACTGCCTTGTGGACTAGACCTTCAGGTCAAAGGCTCCGGGTGTGGCCCCCTAAAAAACCACCTGCTTCAGTCTGGGCACCTGGGCAGTATCTCAGCCCTCACACAAATCGAATGAGATTTGTGAGGCGCATATTTAGCTGGTGCTTCCTTGTACCAATATTTATGTGTTTAAATAAATAAATAAATAATAGAGAACAGTCCTGTCCAACGAATCGAAGGCAGCCCTGATATCAAGAAACACCACTTACGACAGACGCATTCTTCGCTATCAGTACCGATGTTACCGGTACCGCCCTCATCAGTATTTTTGCTAGCCAACGCCAGAAGGTTAATTGCCTCTATTATGAATAATGTTTTACTCGAACAACAAAACATACAGAGCCAATATGAGTTTGACCTTGAGCATCTTTTACTCATCATATTGCATTCCTTTTCAACAGAGAATAGGCAATGTGGCTGTACATATTCGTTAGTAAAGCCGATCATCTTAAAAATCAACTAAAAACGGTAACACAAAAATGGGTACGTAAAGAATTTCAAACCTCAACCGAATAAATCAAGTCAAAATCGACCAAGTACGATATGATGCAATAAATACACAAGTGCAAGTCAACGCACACAAATAAAATATCACCTTAACTGAAATAAACGCAATCAAAGTGTAAAAAGTAGTTATGATGCGTAATTTACCATCAAAACAGTGAATGTAATTTAGCGAGGAATAATACCACTGTCATTTTTAGTTAGCACACATCGTCACAAAGCACCTTCTGTTGATATAGTCAAAACAAAATTAACCTCTACAGTGTTACATCTTACAAGGAATAATGTGGGTCGATAGACTTTCTGTATTGACTACGGAAGACTGAACGAATGAAATTATGTTGTGTCAAATAGGCATAAAAATGAGATAAAGGTGTGTTCAATACGGCGTAATTATGTAGATTAGGACTATAACGGCTAACTTTCTCCAAAAGAGGTCATGAGGACCTAGCGTCTGGACTTTGGTATCAGGACACACACTCGCTTCAGCGGTACATATACTGAAATTGGAACGATACAGAGAAGATTAGCAAGCCCCTGCACAAGGATGACACGCAAAATTGTGAAGCGTTTCATATTTTTCTGCCGACATCGAGTATAACAAACGACTGCTGGAAGAATTAACTCGCTCTACGCGTCTCGGATTCTCTCAAATCCCGATTCTAGGGGACTTCAATCTTCCTAGAATCAACTTCGTGAAACATACATACATTGGAGGTGACAACTCTACTGAAGCTCTGTTCTTCAACCTCATCGGTGACCTGGGATCATTCGAAAATGTGAAGTCAGCAACTCGGAGAGACAGTCAGACGCCGTCGCGCTTAGATTGGGTATTCACAAATGAAGAATTCCTAGTTGACGACCTCTCAATTCTGGCTCCCCTGGGGAAAAGTGATCGTGCCGTCTTATCATTCTGCTTTGTCAGCAAAACTGAGCTAAGATATCCAACTAGCAACAAGCGCTGGAACTTCAAACGGTTGAATGTGTTAGCTTTACAGGGCTATCTACAACAGGTGGATTGGGATGTTCACCCTCAACTTGAAGTGAATGCTTATTGGGATTTTTTTACTGCACACGATCTTATGTGCTACTGAGCATTCAGTTCCTCAAATGGTCCCAAAAAGCTACAAACAACCTCCAATCATCAAGAGCCGCACTCGTCGTTTGCTAAGCCGCAAAAGGCACTATTGGGCTGAATATAAACGAACCGACAATAACGACGCATACAGGCAATATAAACGCATAAGGAACATATGTTCAAAGGCAATAAGAGAAGACAGGCTTCAGTTCTAGACCAAGCTTATCGATAAATTCGTCTCCAATCCAAAAAGCTTATTCAGTTACGCAGCTTCTCTTCGACAAGGCAAAACTGGAGTTTCCCAACTGCTTGGTCCTAATGGCCCGACCAATAACGACGCTGATGCCGCTAACCTTTTGGCTGAACAATACTCCCGGACATTCCAACTGACCCACATCAACTATACTGACGAAAGCTTCACCTGCACCTCTACAGGACTTTCCAAAGTGGATCTGAGTGCTGATCTGGTGCTCCATAAACTGCAGCACCTAAGAAAAGACACTTCTCCTGGTCCGGATATGGTTCATCCCGCTGTATCGAGGGAAGCAGCTTCAATCCTGGCGACACCACTTAGCGTGATGTTTGCACACTCGCTAAGCAAAGGCAAACTACCGGAAATTTGGAAGCTGGTACACATTACACCAATTTCCAAAGGAGGTCGACGCAGTGAACCCTCAAGCTACCGACCAGTGGCCCTTCTCCCATAGCTTCTAAAATTATGGAGTCCCTAATATACGACGGTATACTAAAATACTTATCATACTCAAAGTTCTTCTCAGCTCAACAGCATGGTTTCAGAAAGAGTCATTCTTGTATGACCAACCAGCTGACTGCGGTGGATAGATGGACAACCATCCTTCATCACAAGGGGAAGGTCGACGTCATCTACCTGGACTTCTCAAAAGCTTTTGATAGGGTCAACCATATATGTCTTATCAAGAAGCTTAGACGATTGGGTATAAAAGCCCCTTTGATTGATTGGCTCTCTTCATATTTAGAAAACCGACACTTTAAGGTCAGGGTTAACTTCACTCTCTCTCTCTCAGGCTATGAAATGTCCTAGTGGGGTACCCCAGGGCTCTTCTCTTCCCCAACAAGTTTCATCTTACTTGTTTTTTGCTGATGATGTGAAACTTTGGAGAGAGAGATATGTAATCATAATGATATACTAGTTCTTCAGGAGGATCTGACCCGACTTCAAAGTTGGGCAGACGACAACGGACTTACCTTCAACACTTCAAAGTGCAAGGTAGTCCATCTGAGACATGTTGCAGACTATAGTTATAACTTAGGTAACTCCTCTCTAGAAGTTTCCCAAGTCGAAAAAGATTTAGGAGTGGTGGAACCCTATGACCTCTCAAGCAAACCTTGCACTGGTAACATTGAAGCGCATTTTTGGCCAGTTTGACGGTAGAACCTTCCATATAATCTTCAACAGTTATATTCGTCCGCATTTAGAGTACGGAAACATAGTATTTCCTCCCTCCCTCCAAAAGGATAAGGACACTCTGGAACGTATACAACGTCGAGCCACGAAATCAGTTCGAGGACTCAAATTCAAACCTTATGAAGAGCGCCTCCAATCACTTAACCTTTACCCGTCAGAGTACAGACGTCTTAGAAGCGACCTTCTTATGACTTACAGTATCCTTAATACTTCTGATCATCCCCTTAAACATCTTAAGCTTAGTCATAACACCAACCTAAGAGGTAATTACCTCTGGGTGTTAACACCCAGAAATTGGAGACCCTACATAGCAGAACAGATTGCAGACATAACTTCTACTCTGTTAGAGTTGTCAACTGCTGGAATTCGCTGCCGACTGCGCTAGTCCGAACGACCCCCCAGGAGTCCTTTAAGAGGAAACTTGACTTATTCTTAAGGACTAAGGATAACATATTATTATGATTTACCAAATTTTTTTTCCTCTATTATCGTTCATAAAGCCTAGGTTTTTGCCTGAAGATATTGGTGATCCACTGCTACTAGATACGGAAGCCCATTAAGCGAAAGCTTCTTCTATTCCGTCCTCAACCATTTGAATCATTTGGACCCGACTTACCTAAACTGTACTTGAATTGATGGGACAGTACAAGGTCACTTGTGGGTCCGTC